TCTTTGAAGAAATAATCAAACTAATCTAATCAGATTAAATTAGAAAAGAAAACGAAGTTCCTATATACATGTATATAAAAGTTATTATAAAACGAAATGTTGTGTGCGGAATAGAGGAATAGCGGAACAGAGGAATAGCGGAATAGAGGAATAGAGGAATGGAGGAATAGCGGAATAGCGACCGACCGACCGGAATACATTTTGACATGCTCCCTAAGTTTCACCTAGTCAAACCGTTTCTCTCAAAAGTTATTGCATTTTTAAATTCGTCGTGTGAACAAAGAGACAGACAGACAAACATTTTGTTATATGAACGTGAGTGGGAACAATGGGAACTACTACCGGTTTCAAAATGCACTGCAGTCTCTCATTTACTGAATAAATTTTTCATTGTGAACAGTACAAAAAACATTCAGTTTTTACCGTTGAAAAGAGAACATTTTTGCTATGAAACGATGTAAAAGGTCAAGCCGAACCACCGTCTGCAGCCAGTGTACCTCATCAATCTTTCAAAGAGTAGATCGCCAGACCATGTAGATTTAATAGATTTCAAATCCAAATTTAGTCGTTCGCTAGCTTAGACGGCGGTTAACAATTCTACAAAAAAACGAGTCCATCTCTCTCGCTTCCATGGTTCAGGAGCTACATCGGATACCCGAAGAGATGTCTGTCTGGCACTTTGAGCCTGGGAATCTCAAAAACACATCGGAAGCTGGCTGTTGTCCCTCCTGAACAACGTGGCAATGATTATTTTCTTCACCGAGTTGAATGGACTTTAGAAGAGGAGTTTTTCAGACAAATCGATTTGTGCATCTTGACCTTGAAAGAATGAATTTGTCTAGTTTAGCTTATAAAACTTTCAAATTCTCAGTGCCAACTCACGAGGGGGCTTTTTCAGACCATATGCTCCGATTTTCTTCGCTTATATATCAATCGACAGAGCACACCGAGCAGGTAAAAAGCCTAAAAGAATTCGGGCCTATTACTCTTGAGGACCCGGTATCTAGAAAACCAGTTTTTTAGAAACTCTAAAAAATAGCCAAAACCTTTTGTTGATGGTGCATGATTGTAGCCCGCATATTTCTGATTAAAATGAGACGCCCCCCAGCTCTACACAACGTTTCTTTGCAAAGTTATAGAATTTACAACAAAAGCTCTAAGTAACTTCTTCCTATCTCTGCAGCTTTGAGCTGATGAACATTTAGAGCTTTTCTTGTAGATTCTATAACTTGGCAAAGAAACGTCATGTAGAGCTGGGGGGGGTGGGCGTCTCAGAAATGTGCAGGCTACAATCATGCATCATCAAGAAAAGGTTCTGGTTATTTTTTAGAGTTTTTAAAAAACTGGGTGTCTAGAAAACGGGGTCTTCAAGAGTCAGGCGAACGAATTCTTTTAGGCTTTTTACGAGCTCGATGTGCTCTATCGATTGTTATTAGGAGAAGGAAATCGGAGCGTATCACCTAAAAAGGTTCCCTCGTCAGCGCTACATGATTTACGGGTGTGGAATATTAAAACTTTAGTCTTACGAACAATTTAGTCTTTGGTTTTTCACGAGCTCTCGAGAAAACCTCTTTTCGCTTAAGTTTGCTATTTGTATTCTCGATGAGAGAAGCAATGCAGCAGACAAAAACTGCACTGACTCCTAAGGTCCATTCATTTTGGATAAAATGCATGCGTTCTACGGCATTTTCATTGCTGGTGAATGAGGTACATCAGCTGGAGATGGTGGCTCGGCTCGACCTTTCACATCATTTCATAGCAAAAAGTCTTTTCTTTTCAATGGTGGAAATGGTTTTTCTATTTCCAATAAAAAGTTATTCAGTATATGCGAAACTTCACTGTATTCTGAAACTGATAATAGCTGAGATAAAGAGATAGTTAAGGATACTACCACTTCTCAGATAGGTTTGCATTAAGAAACTTTGCATATGTTTTAACACATACCTGGGTCCCATAGGTGCTGTTAAACTTTTATCATAGTATTTTTTTAAGTGTGTATTTTCTTCGGATACTTCTGATAAATCATAACCGGCACAGAAGCAACCCCCTTCACCATAGAGTATAGCAATTTTTGTATTTGAATCATTTTCATATTGAATTAACGTTTGATGTAATTCTAGTGCAGTTTCAGGATTAACAGCATTCCGTTTCGATGGACGATTTAGACTAATTAATAATATTTCATTGTTATTACCAGTATGCTTCACAATTAGATTTTTACAAATGGAATACATCTACCAGCAAACAAAGCAAACTTGTATGAGTCTAAAGCGTTGCACATCAACTAGCATAACGTTGTATTCACCTTTCTTTCTTGCAATATAATTACAGATGTCCAACTGAAGGCTATTTCAGAAGTACTTAAAAGGGTTATTTCCTTGTAACCGTCAAAAGTAATAATAGAGTAGACAACAAGTCATTCTTACCAGCGTGAAAATACGTAGACCGTAACAACAGGTATCTTTCTTTGCTTAGTTAAAATATTACTCTTTCAAATCGAATAGCTTGTTACAACCGCTTGCTAATTAATTAGACTGGAGTTTTCTCAAACCTTAGTTCCAACATAAGGCAAAATTATTCTATCAAGTTATATCTTGCACGAGGATTATGTTTTTGACGCCATTTTCTTCAATGTTTGGCTGACTGATTTAACATTTTACAGTCAGAAAATGAACTGCAATAGTTATTTGTTGATAAAATCAATAATATGTGAACTAACAGAATACTGAACGCGCTATATCAATTCTATTAGACTAATATAATGACTGTTAGATGTGTCGAACGATGCAAAATAGTAAGATGGTGCTTATATACTACAGAAGATCGTTCCATGCACAACTCTTTCGAGGTGCAGTAGCTTGGCAAACATGTTTCAAAGGTAACTAAGTAAATAAATATGGCAGATATCATAATACAAAAGAAAGTTTTGAAAAAAATCCCAAGTACCTCATATAGAAATGTAGCCATCGATAAAAGCAAACAAAGGAACGTAAGCTGCTTTATTGTCACAAAGTCACGACTAGCAATAGGACTGTAGAAACAAATGTAAATGTGTAAAACTTTGGTCGAAAAAGGTACATTTTACATTTAGAGTCTTTCCTTTATCAACTGAGTCAGAACAGAAAAGTCTTTTTTCTTTCCCTTTTATGTTGATTCTGGGCGTGAAGAACACTCCTGACATATATTTACAGACAGAAAGAGAAAGAAGAAAAGCAAAAAGACGGCATGCGTTTTTTATGTATCATCCTTTTCTGTTCTGGCGCAGCTGATAAAAGAAAGATTGTAAATAGTATTTACAATGTAACACTGTTAAAACCTTATTCATTTTATAACGTATCTAATGTGTGATATAGTCTAAACGAGGTTTACACTGTATTACACATGAAGCTTTCCTGTGAGAAAAACCTGTGGAAAATGTCATATATTATCACGTTATTAAAGCGCATAATGAGTTTTTGTTCATTACATAACGGGATAATGTATGATAAAGTAAAAAGTAAAAGGCATGGAAAGCACTAGAAGTAAGTCTGTCAGGCTCGTGGAGCGCATCTGAAGCCTCCGGCGGATTTGAACGAACACAATAAGTATCTTTCCTGTCACACAGCAACTTGTATTCTTACACAACCTACAAAATGATCGTTTCCTAAGATCTAAATATTAGAACATAATAAGACCATCAAATGCTAGACCTCTGGGCTGTAAATCTTAGAAAAATGATTCAGCTCTAGTGGTCATGTGAACAAGTTGCTTTCTGACAGGAAAAAGACTTTTTGAATTCATTCAGACCTTCTGGATGGCTCTGATGAGCTCTAAAAGCCTGGCAGATCTACTTCTAGTAATTTTCGTGCTTTTTTGAATTCATGCAAACTCTCAGAGGAATATTGAGTGAAGCTGAGATTTACGGGCAATTTTAAACAGAGTTCAACTAAATGCTGCAAACGACGCTCTACAGCAAACTGAAAATGGGTCGCCCACTATAAGTAACACTGAGCCACTGTGTTTTTAGATTCAAAATAAGAATAAAAGATAGTTTCACTTTTTTATGAGTGTTTGAGCACTTAAGGTTTTTATAATCTACTCACAATAAAGTCTCTTAAATATATAAATCTTGTGCAGTCCGCATTGTTTAGTTGTCGACAGTCATTTTTAACTTTTACAGAAGAGATCCAAGATTGCACTGCAGAATATAGAGTAGAATTATTCAAAAAGTATATGTATCAAAATACATAAATATGCCTGTTCTTCCTCTTATCTAACACATTCATATCCTTCTTTCTAGGTCGTGTGTGCATATCTCTCTTTTGTATGATGATTTTAAACACAATAACACACACTGTGTTATTTTGCTTAAAATAAGAATTTTGCAAGTAAATCCCAAAACGACTTTTTGTCTTAAATAAACTTTTCTAAAACTCGTCTATTCCGGATTGTGCGTCTTTCCAAAATGTCAAACATTCAAATTCGGGTAGAGCTTAAAATTTTATGTATACTAGTAGATTATCAGTATGTGGTTAGCTCTTAGGTTAGCGATTTTTTTAAAAGAAGCGTCGCGAAATATTGTATAAAATCATACTTAAACTTCAATTTCAGAACTTCAACCGAGGAAACAGGGCAAATTACACGAAAGACGAAAAAACGGAAA